TGTTTGGGTTTATTTGTTTGAGACAGAGTCTCACAATGTAGTTCAGGCTGGTCTTGAACTCACTATGGAGCTTAGGCTAGCCTTGAAATCAAGGTGATCCTCCTGCCTCAGCCTCCCAAGTGCTGGGATTACAGGTGTGCGCCACCACACCTGGCCTAGAACTTATTTTAAATAAAATTTACATTCATTCATAAATAGGAAAATTAACCCCCTTTGAGTAAATTGAAAATTGATATTGATAGCCTTCTTAAATAAAATAGCCAAATTGAGCTGGATATGGTAGGGCACACTTGTAATCCCAGCACGTGGGAGGCTGAGGCAGGAGGACTGCTGTGAGTTCAAGGTCAGCCTGGACTATATAATGAGTTCAAGACCAGTCTCGACTACATAGTAAGATTCTGTCTCAAAAAAATCAAATTAAATAAATATTAAAAACCCAAATTATCAATATAACTTCATGGGCCCAGAATGGCTCTGTTTTCCTACCAATAAATATGTGACAGTCAATAAAGAATAGGATTAGTGGGAATAGATTATTTTCCCAAGTTTACAGGTGCTTCAACATGTGGCTTGGAGTATTAAGATGATGATATTCTAAGAAAAAAACATTTTCTAGGGCTAGAGATGTAGCTGAATGGTAGAGCACCTGTCCAGCACCTCAAAAACAAAAGACTATATAGTGCTAAGAGTATTACATTAGGTTTGATAGCCTCATAAAAAAATTTTTTTTGCAGGGTACAGGGGAAAGAATTTGGGTCCTGGAGCTTGTGAGGCAGGCGGCAGAACCACTGAGTTAAATCCCTAGCCCCCTCATAAATTTATAAAATTAGTGCCAAAACTAGGCACAATGGTTCACATCTGTAATTTCTGCTACTCTGGAGGCAGGATTTCAAGTTTGAGCCCACCTTGCCTCAAAAAAAAGGAGACTGGGGTTGGGGATATAGCTCAGTGGTAGAGGGTCCTTAGCTTCAATGCCCAGCATCCCTCCCCCTACAACCCTCTTGCCTCAACCTCCGGGTGCTGAGATTACAGGCATGTGCCAACATATTAAGTTTCAATGTAATTTTTAAAAATGGAAGTGAACAAGCAAAGAGAAGCTAGCAATTTTCTTAAAGCTTCAAAAGATGCTTTTGAATTCCGAGACAATGAATTCGACTATATACAAGTGCATGGAGTTCTCTCTACTTGCCAATTGGTATCTGGGTGTTCATCACAGCTTCAACAAAAAGATATAAAAAAAATTTAATGATGTGCTCATTAGATGGCCAGAGAAAGACAAGAGTTTAGGAATGTTAGCGGAAATCATGAAGAATTTTTAAAAATGCATAATCTAATGCAGCTCTTAAAGGTTCATATTTGGCGGTTTCACTAGCATAACATTCATTACATGAGATCTATGGCATGTGCAGATCTGTACTTTTATTAATCTGAAGCAACTGCTAAGGTTTATAACCAAGTAATTTGTTAACTTTATCAAGGCAGGAATTATTCCTTTACTAGTCAACCAGCAGACCTTTGTTATTGTCATTAATTTTTAGAATAATCTCGTGATATTTCTGTTCCTATTTAATAGAAAGAAAAAAATTACATTCTATGGTAACAGTGTCTAAGACGTAAGGATATGTTCCATAACAAGAGCCTAGTGTATTATACATTTCTAGTATATTTTAGTATATGTGCTGCCGAAGTGAGCACTATACATTTCTAGTATAAGATACCACTTCAGTCAAAATTTAAGATACTTCTCCAACTACCTCAATACCGGTGTTATCCTTCTAGTAAATTACAAATCTGTATTCACATGCGATTACATTTTCCTTTGATTGTACTTTTTACTTTCCTAGCTGAAGCGATGCGTTACCTGCTATTTCAGAAAAAAGATAAAACACAGGCATTCATACAAGTTCTTCTTATTGGGCAAAAGTAAGTTTCTTCTCAAGTGTTCTAGGTTACCTTGTGCAATACTGCATATATTAACTCTTCTCGATTTCTAGCGAATGAAACATACTGTCAATTTATCCAGATCAGAATAATACAGGTGTTGGGTGTGGTGGCACACACCTGTAATCCCAGAACTCGGGAGGCTGAGGCAGGAGGATTGCAGTGAGTTTGAGGCCAACCTGGGCTACATAGTGAGTACGGATCATCGTGAACTACAAAACAAAGGGAGATCCTTTCTCAAAAAAGAAAAAAAGAAAGAAAAGAATAATATAGGCAGTTTGGAATAAGAGACGTTATGAAGGATTGAAAAGAAAGTGTCTTAACCTTTTCTATTTCAGCCTCATCACTAATGAAATATCCTAGTGAATGAGTGGCACAAAGCAGCTTGTTAGAGCTGCTGTGTGGTCCAATCAGTATAACAAATGAAAATGCACCTCAAAGTTTCTATTTTAAATTAATGCAAGGTATTATAAATTTAATTGAAGAAATATGTGTTGAGTACTTATAAGTTATGTACCAATTTTTTAATCAGTTTTTTTGAGGCAAGGTCTTATTATGTAGTCTAGACTGCTCTTGAACTTGGTATCCTTCCTCAGCCTCCTGAGAGCTAGGATTATAGGCTTGAGCCACAACCACAACCAACTTTCTACAAATCATGTGCCAGTTTTAATGGCTGTTTAAAAGGAAGAGATACAGAATCAGGGAGGTACAAAGAAGAGTGGTTTGGTGTCACAAGTGCAAATCCTGGAAAGGAGATGCATGATTAGATTTTGAGAGAGGGACAAGCCAAACTTGGAAGAATTTCCCCTTTAAGCTGCCTCTTCCATAACCTGCAGCAAACAATCTAACTTGCTTCTCAAATTACAGGTATAATTCAGGGGAAGGAACAGAAACACTAAGGAAATTATAATGACTTAAGCCTTATAAAGTATATTTCCACTTTGAATAGTTACAAAAACTTAGAAATGCCATGACAGGTGGCAAAGACATCACTGGCTCTGGAAATGACATGACCACAGATCAAATTTCAAGCAGCAATTTTCTTTAGCTTAGCCACAGCTGAATCGTTCACATTTTATATTTAAAGTTAAGGCAATTTAGGCAAGCTTTGATACTCTACTCAGTAATTATGTTTTTTTTGTTTTTTGGGGGGTACCAGGGATCGAACTCAGGACCTCGCGCTTGAAAGGCAGGAAGCAGAACCACTGAGGTAAATCCCTGGCCCAGTAATTATGTTATTTTGCCTGAAAATGCAGTTTCAGTACACTACTGTCAAATCATACACCTTCGTGAAACAAAAAAATCGGAATTGCTTTCAGAGAAGTGTGATTAAAATCAAATGGTCCCTTTTCTCCATTATGGCTATATTCTTTCAGTGTTCATCTCCTTCGTGCAGTCTGTTCCACTAGCAAAGTCTGCTTCCTTACTTTGTACCAGGAAACTGTCCCAGCATTGGGGAAAAACACATAAACAGGACCTCAGGAGGGACACAACTTACAGGTAAGCGAATCTAATAACTAACACGTTGGGATCACTGCTGTAAGAGAGAAATAAGTGCTGCAAGAGAGAAATAAGTCCTCTAGGCGAGAAAAGTTAGGAGTTACATTGACTAGGGAGTTACATTGGCCAGGGAAAGGCCAGTCTGAGGCAGATTTAGGTGGAGAACTGAGGGAAGAGGAACCGATTACTCTCGCAAGCTGAGTGTAAGGGGAGAGAGGCTACAAAGTACGTGTACCAGGGTCTGAAGGGTGGCCCAGCTTGGCTGGAACTTAAAGTAAATGACATAAAACGAGTCTGTGAATAGGAATAAAGATCGCATCATACAGGACTTTGCAGGCCATGGAAAAGAATCTAAACTTACCTAAATGCAGTAAGAAGCTATAGTATAGCTATAATGTAGAAGCTATATACTTCAGACGAATGAATTACAAAATCTGTTTTCCTTGTTAAAATAGCACGCTGGTAAAACAAGTCGTGTTGAGAAAGGTTTTACAGGAGAGAACCAGATAGATGCTATTATCAAGCACTTCTCTGGCCTCGGGCTTTCTATAGGCAAAGCAAGTGGCTTGAGCCAGAAGCCATTTCCTTCCCGCTGCGACGTGCCTAGGGGATGAGTTCCGAGAGCAACGGTGGCGTTAAATTGACCATGGAATTCCCTTCAACCCCGCCGGCGTCCAGCACACAACTGGCGTCCTGAAACTGCCGGTCAGCACACTGGATCAATGAATGGCTGGCCCGGGCCGAGCGGGAAGCGCTCAGGGCGCGGGGACCAGGCCCGGTGTCAGAAAAGAACGCGAGGGGCCGCGCGGGAGGCCGCGAGAGGCGTCCAGCGAGGAAAGTGGGGGATGGCTGCACCACAGACAAGGCACGGCGTAGAAGGAGCCAGGGCCTCGCGGGCTGGGTCAGAAAGAGTCCGACTCCAAGGCCCGGCACCGGGAGCTACGAGACCCGAAGGCGGAGCTGAAGAAGGGATCGGGCCCAGCTACTCACGGCTGCCGTCGCCAGGCTGTGCATGTTGGGAGATGCTGCCGCTCTCTTTCCTCCGCCTGAGGCGCCCGACTCGCGTCCCAGCTTCAGCGCCTCTGCCGCGGAAGATAAGGAGCCGCCATCCGCCTCGGGTTCGCTCCGCCCCCTTCGCAGCCCTCTGACCTCTCACCCCTGACCCCGCCCACACTTCTTCCCGCCTCCTGGCACTCTGCCTAAAGTCGCAGACTATGTTCTTTGTCCCTTAAGATTTAGAACCGAAATGACGACCACGACCTGTTAGTCCCACATCTCCCTCACATCGAGCAGGTGTTCCTAGAACAGCGTGAACTCCGATCTTTTTCCAAAAGCATGGGAAGGGCGGGAAAAGCCCAGCAGGCTCGGGAGGACAAGAATTGCGCATGCCCACCTAGGCTGGGTGGGAGGGAGATGGTGGGAGGTCGAAGATGGGTGAAATGGGGAGTGCGCGTGCGTACTACAGACACAGCAGGGGCGGGGCTTACTGGGTTAGGCGTGTCTTAGGGAATAGGGGCGGGGTTTGCAGATTTACGCGCATGCGCTAGTCCGGTCGCGTAGAGTGTGCGTGCATGCGTGCGTGCGTGCGTGCGTGTTTGCGTGTGGTGATAGTTCCCGCCATCAGCGGCTTTCCCTGTTTGGGGGGGAGCGAGCAGGCTTGCTCCTTACTCGGTGTCCCTTCCTTTTTTACCTCCGGCTCCTCCTCCTCCTCCGCGCGAACTCTGCTGCTTCCGGCAGGCTTGTCTGGGGGCCCCGGACCCTCAGGCACAGGTAAGGCGGCCAGGGTGGCCTCTCAATTGAGCCGTTTTCCCTAGCACCCCTCCCCCTGCGGTCCGCCCACTCGGCGTTCACTCTTCTGGAGTTCTCCTCGCCTGTGCTCAGCTCTCCCATAGCCCCTCGGCGCTCCCCAGGCCTCACAGATGCTCAACTTGGGTGTTCCCCCTCGACTTTCCTTCTTTTTTGACGTGTTCTGTACTGTCACTAGTTCCGTCCGCCACTCGAACCTGTCCTGTTTTCTCTGGGACTGTCGTCGTCCACCGCCCCCCCCCCCCCCCGCC